TGTTGGAATTCGCGAATCACTAGATCTGTTGGGGCGTGGGGCGGCAAAGGAATCAGATTGAGAAATTTTGAAAATCGGTCAACAATCACCATGACTTGTGAATACCCGTTCTTGCTTACCTTACCCATGTCAGTGAAGTCGATGGAGACAGACTCCCCGGGACCATCAGGAATGGGTAGGGGTGTGAGTAGCCCCATGGGCTTTTGTCTTCAAGGTTTGATTCGTTGACAGACTTGACATTCAGCCACAAATTTCTCAGTAGTCCCTTTCATGCCAGGCCAATCAAATTGTCTCAGCAGGTTAGCGTACATTTTTGCCATGCCGAAGTGCCCGCTCCGGCCATGAGCCAAGTCCAGAAAGTGTGTGCGGAGAGGCTCATGGTACACACAAACGGTCATGGTTCCCGTAACGACGAAAAGTCAGTCCTCCATACTCGTGGAACTCAGGCTGACTTCTAGGATCAACCCGCAGCTGCTCAAGGATGCAGCTAAGCTCCGGATCCTTGGCTGTCTGCTCTACGAGCTCCTCCTTCAGTTTCTTCCGGAGGTCGTAGGATTTCACCAGGCAAGTCATGTACTCAGGGTGGCGAGACAGTGCGTCAGCGACTCGATTATAACAGCCCTTTTTGTGTCTTAATTCAAAATAAAAAATGTCAATCTCATGGAACCAGCGAAGCAAGGTAGGGGACAGAGTAGTCTGCTGTTTGATCCACTTCAAGGTCTCATGGTCTGAGGAGACTTTGCAGTGGCGTCCCAAAAGGGAATGTTTCCAGTGATCCAACACCATACGTAAAGCGTAGAGCTCACGCATGTAGGTGGAAGTGGCTAACTTTACGCTGGGCATTTGTTTGCTGTAGTACTCGAGTGGCCGCATGCCATCACCGTCATCTTGCTGCAGCACTGCACCGATTCCATACTGACTTGCATCCGTAGTAACTACGAAGGTTAGTTTCGGATCTGCAATGCGGAGTACCGGGTAACTTACCAAGGCTTCCTTGAGAGCTTGAAAAGCTTCCGTACACGCGGCATCCCAGGAATAAGACACATTTTTACTGGTTAGTCGCGACAACGGACGAGCAATGATAGAAAAACGGGGTACAAACTTCCGATAGTACGATGCGAGACCAAGGAAAGAACGCAATTCGCGAATGTTCGTAGGTTGAGGCCAATCACGTATGACCTCAATCTTGGTTGCCTCAGGCTCTAGGCCTGCAGCAGACAACCGGTGCCCAAGATAGATGATGCTATCCTTTCCAAACTCAGATTTCTCCAAGTTGAGATGCAGCTGCGTCTTCTTGAGGATAGCGAGCACCTCCTCAAGATGCTTGAGGTGTTCCTCCATGGACTTGCTAGAGATCAGAATGTCATCCAGGTACACTACCACAAACCGGCCAATCTGTTCGCGGAGGACCTTGTCCATGAGGCTTTGGAAAGTGGCTGGTGCGTTCGTAAGACCGAAGGGCATTACAGTGAACTCATAAAGCCCGTCGCGTGTTTTGAACACAGTCTTGTGCTGGTCCGCAGGATCGACTTCAATCTGGTGGTAGCCAGACTTGAGATCGATCTTGGAGAAGATCTTGCACCCGCCTGCGGCATCAAGCAAGTCGTTTATACGAGGCAATGGATAAGCATTCTTTCTCGTGATGCGGTTTAGACCGCGATAGTCAATACACATGCGGAGTTTGCGTCCTTTCTTTGGCATAAACAACACAGGAGCACCAAATTCAGATTCGCTTGGTTTGATCCACCCTTTGTCAATCATCTCATCGATCTGTCGCCGAAGTTCCTCCAACTCGCCGGGTTCCATACGGTACACGCAGCCCTTTGGAGGAACAGCACCCTCGGCCAACCCGATGGTGTGTCGAACCGGTCGCGTGGGGACTCCACGTGGCTCGGCCAGGACTTCCGGAAATTGATCGAGGAGGGTTTGGATGTCTGATGGGACGGGTGGGGGTGGGGAATCAGCAAAGGGATCACCAAGATCCGGTCGCAAGTCGCGTATAGAAACGAACAAATCTGAAGTAGGATCATTTGGACTATTAGAGGGTAGAGATGTAGAGGTGCTAGTAGTAGAAGTACTAGAAGTAGAATCATTAATCGAAGTAGTAGTGGTACTGGCTGCAAAAGTAGAAGGCACATGAGCAGGACGAACAAAGGCAACATACAACTGTTCTTCCTCTTTGTGCTTGCGCCACTTCTCGCAGAACTTCAATGCATTTAGAAAAGTCACTGGGGATTCGTGCTTCTCATCCAAGAGGACAGGAAGCTCGTTCCCCTGAACATCTTTGACCATGAAGAGTGATTCCTTCCACTTGGTCAATTCACATTGGGACTGCAGCCAGCCCAAACCAAGGACAGCGTCGAAGGGGCACTTGTCAAGGACAAAGAAGTTCAGTGCATGGGTGACAGTCTTACCTCTGTCAAAGGTAGTGCGCACACCTTTAACTGCATGTGTTGAAGAGAACTTCTTTGTTGCCAACTTGGGTCGGGCAAGGGTTCTGCAGGGCCACTTGCTTCATCCCCAAGCCCACCTTGCGTATCCCATGTGGTGACATGAAATTAGCTGTAGCACCACAGTCAACCAACACACGGAGATAGCGGTGGTTGATGAGAAGTTTAAACAAGATCAACTTCACTGTCCCTTGGCCACACTGCTGTTTCATCTCAGCCCAATGCTCCAAGTGGTAGTGGAAGTCAACCATCTCAGACTCCTCCCAAGGCTCGACATACAAGACATTACTTACCTCAGGCTTGTCTTCAGCAGATGATTGGGTTTCAGGGGAGGGCTGCTGATTTTCAACAGAATCAGACTCCCCTGCTGTAGAGTTTGCTGAATCTGACTCTACGCCCGATTCTGGTTTCCCTGCAGCCTACAACAATCTTGAACTTTATGATTTGGCTTTTGGCAATGCAGGCAAACCCCCTTCTTGAGTCTGCCCCGCCAGTCATTTTCAGTGATCCGGAGGTCAACCCAAGGTTTGGTAGTTGCATTCTCCGGTTTAGGCGGGATCTTAACTCCTTTGGTGAGTTGGACATAGCTTTTTCCGGCACTCCGATTCAGTCCCTTAGTGCTGGCAGTCTTTTTAAAGGCAGAAAAATTTTCTTCTTCTTTATTTGCGTCGGACTCATCGGCCGAAGAACAAGCTGTATCGGAGTCTTGTTCTTGGTCGTCACCAAGAGTGGGGTCACCCGCATCGGCTTCTTCCTCGGCCTCCAGCAGGTCATGCACAGCAAAACGGTTGCTTCCCTTGAACCGTCTGCCGCCCATGGGCTTTTTGCTGCCTGCCGTGCTAACGAGGTCCATAGCCTCCAGACTGACTACGTCCTTCATTAAGGCGACCCAGTCAGTGTATGCAATGTTCCCTGCCTAGGCGACTAGTGAAGTTAGTTGGAACCGCGCCCTTAACCACATCCAAGCAAGATTGAGTGGACAATTCCAAACCAGGAGTGGCAAACAGCTTGCTTAGATAGTTCTGTAGGCTTTTCATGGAGCCATTCCACTTGCTGTGCTTTACTTTGTCCAGTTGAATCTTTGCTTTAGCAGCAACATGTGGATCTTGGTCTTTCGAGATAAGGAGCTCTTCGAGGGAGGCAACCGGGGTGGTCCTTAGCCATTTGGCTAGTGCAGCCTTTGGAAACCCAGCCCATGTTGCTTGGACTTCTAGGAAGCCCCGTACGACTGGCTCGCCATTCATTCCCATGATCACCGCCTGGTTCTCAAGTTGAGTTTCCAGGATCTCAAAGTAGGCCCTCATGGAGCTGATCCAGGACTCGATGGCATCCTTGCTGTCGTACTTGGATGGCATTTGTACCGCCTTCCGGTCCACGTAGGGACTGGCGTAGCTGGGACCAGCAGCAGCTGGTTCCGGCCTTGGGGCTGCAGCAATTGCAGAAGTTCCAGCCTCATTGCTTGTTACCGCAACAGTGGAGTCTGCACCTGCTGCAGGTCCCGAGGGGGTTGCCATCACACTCGAAGAAGAGGTAGAAGAAGATACAGTAAGAGGGGCAGAGGTGGTTTCGATTGCAGCTTCAGATCCAGGGGGTAGAGGAAGAGGGTTGGCCACTTGGGCTTGTCGAAGGTCAGCCACCTCCTTTGTCAAGTCATGGTACTTGTGGGTCATATCAATCAGATCATCCTGAAGAGTCCGCAACTTTGCAAAGACTTCAGCGATCTGAGTGGTATGGTCCTCAAGATTACGGACTTGAACAAAGGCTGTAAGGATGGACTTCACCTGTACCCCGCACTGCTGTTCAGTCAGTGAGGGAACAATCTCTAGGAGAGCTACTTGCCTTCTCAGCAAGGTCTCCTTCCTCTCCTTCTCTGACTCCTGTTCCTGTTTTATTGCACCATCTAAGAGTGCTTGCAGATGAGGTTTCTCAGCATCACTGGCTGCATCTAACAAGGCCCACCATTGCGTTGAAGTAAGCTGGGCCATTTTCGGACTGTCAGTATGGACAGGTGGGTCGGAGAGTCGCCAGTCAGCAAAATAATCAATCAGACTCTCAAGAGGTTCACTCCCCCTCGAGCTTTGACGAACACTTCTTTTCCCAGTTCTTGCCCACTTCAGACTATCACTTTCCCTCTCTCCCTGTTCTCTCTCCCTGTTCTCTCTCCCTCCTCTCTCTTTCTTCTTTCAAATTGCGACTCTCTACGGGCATCGGAAATGAACTCAGAAAAACAGATAAAGCTCAGAGAATAGAAGGTAGAACTCCTAGCCGGAGCGGCATTTCATTTGGAAGTAGAGAACAGCAAAAGAAACAGTTAAACTCAAAGAGAGGTCTGATCCAGCGACCCAGTCTGATCAGACTTCATACGAGGTCCTCTTGAGTCCAGTCTGACCAGCTCCATGTCCGCACAGCAAATCAGACAACGAGTAACTAAATGCAACAATGGAGAATTGAGTGGTGTACAAGGTGCGAGTCAAGCCACGGATGGTGCAATCAGAATACAAGCGAAACGTCAAAGCCAAGATCCCCTCGGCAGTGGGTGTCCTAATCCAAGAAGAATGAACTCATATCCCAGCCAAGAAGACGAGAGGTCAATGCCTAACTGATTTGGGTCCTGAGACTCTCCTTGTTTGGGCCCGGTCCCGCTGGGTCCCAAGGGTTCCGCTTGGTCCCAAGGGTCCCACGTAGGTCTCAACCAGGTCCCAACCAAGAGGAGTCCCACCTGAACTTAGTTCAGTCTCAACTGCACTGAAAAACGAAATTTCAACTTCTGGCAGAACCTACAGACTACAACCATTCAGTGATGAAAAGACAAAGCACTGTAGAAAGACTCGGCAGGTATAACAAGATACTTCATTTTCCATCCATCAGGTGAGTAGGTAGATCACATGCATTCAGTCACACAATCAAGACCACAGAGGAGTAGCAAAAGAAACCCAGAGTACCCCAGCAGGACAATCAATACCATACACACATACATGGGCATCCCGTAGGTGCACGACACTTACCTGAGTGGCCTTGAGCTTCGAGATGAAGAGAACTCACCCCCCTTCTCATATGGTCTTCCTGACCCATCTAACGCTACCCCTACACTAGTGTCCTATCTCCTAGGAGGGTCTGACTCCAACACCCAAGTGCAACGCCGGATTCCCCGTCGATGCTGAAGAACAACGTAGCAACTTGCAGTCCGTTGATGCAGAATGGCCGCTGACCCTCAAGCTCGCCTACTTGAGGGCAGCCCTTAAGTTGCCAAGTGTCTCCCTTGAATCAGATTCCAGGTGTGAGTGCCTCTCACTGTCGCCTGTCTCAAATCGCCGCATGAAGTCTCCTCGAAATGTCTCGCCACCCCAATCTCACTCTCAAGCAACCTGGTTAGGTTCTATGTTGACCCCACATGACCTAACCAGGTGGGGGCAGCCTCCCTTAGCCACGCTGCCCCTTTTCCCTCAACCATCCAACCCTAACCCTAAGTGTTGCCCTCAACCACTTAGGTTAGGGTTAGGGTAGCAAAGTCAACTCTCACCAGCAAATAGAATCCGCTCTGATACCAATGTTATGACCCTGGCCAATTTCGATATACACATCCACTGGAAAGTACAATGCCATCCAATTGCAGAAAGAAATGAATGAACTAGAGAGGAGAGAGAGGAGTAGAAGAAGAAGAAGTAAGGAAGAAGAAGAAGAAGATGTACACCAGCAAAGACAATGACAAGGCTCTTCTTCTTCGCCCAACAATCTCCTCCTCCTTATCTCCCCCTTCTCTTATTCATACAAGAAA